TGCCATTGCGTGGGAGGTTTTGTATAAGTCATGACCATACGACTTTGCCATTGCGTGGGAGGTTTTGTATAAGTCATGACCATACGACTTTGCCATTGCGTGGGAGGTTTTGTATAAGTCATGACCATACGACTTTCACTCCGCTACTACGTCTGATGGTTTTAATCCCAATATTTCGTTTTACATCCTTGCTTCCAATATTTCACCATGCATTCTTTTTTTTATTCCAAATCCAACACCCACCATTCCGATATATCATACGTTCTTCATTTCAATCTGTTTTCGAACACAGAGTACAGCAGCTTTTTTTTTCGGAAGTACTTACTACTGACGTGCCATGTGGATTTTTTTGTATATGTTTAAATAACAACAAAAAATACAGGAAACATACGGACTAATTCTTACAAAATTTTGATCTGCTATGTAACCTCGTAATATAATATGTATTAAAGTATCCAATATCACCACTGATATAATATGTATTAAAGTATCCAATATCACCACTGATATCAGATCTCTTGTAAGTACGAATGTGTCTGCTATCCGTTAGCAGAACATAAATCAACAAGTACAAACGTTTAGAGATACAGTTTATCAGTGATTGTCCAAAATGACATCGCTCGTTCGAATAGCAGAATTACATTGCATCATTCAAATGACTTGAGACATGCGGCATATCTTTATTATTATTTATGTTGCAAAATGAAGCATTCATTACTACACGATAATTATCTGAGCTGGCCGAAGATCAACAATAATATGGTAGAAACGGGAAACAAGAATTTGAATCCTTCAGACGAAACTTTCCGAACGGTAAGAAACCGGCCAATGGAACCAAATACACCAATCCTCGAAATCCATGGTTCCGTTTCTGAAACACTTCCTCCCCCTTCCTTGGAATATTTCGTGACAAAATTGAATTCAAGGCTCTTTACGCGACACCTGGTGGATGATATAAGTAGACTAGTATGATGTCTTTGATGAAGATCAAAGGAATCGCGTGTCAGCGAAACGGTAAAACAGACATACTTTGAAGTTGGGTGTAACTCCTCTGTAATATCAAAGGACAGGTATCAGCCTAGCGATTGGTCAGGTAGAAGCGATAGAGAAACAAACGTACGTAATGAACTCCAGACTGTGTGATCAATGTGACCGAGAGCATCTTAATCTGAATATGTACGTCGCTTGAATCCAATTCCCGGCATTAACGCGACGGATGAAAGAGAGCGCAGTTTGCCTTACATGTTTGTAAGGCCAGCCTTGAAGGTCGTCTGTGCACTGGCAAGTACTAAGTAGTTCTCTAGTTGGTTCCACTCCCTAATTGGTCTTACAAAGAAGCTGTTTCTGTAAGTGTCAGTTTTTGCTGGTATATTTACTAAGCACTTTGAGTGGTTTGCCTTATGGTCTTTCACACTATTTTAACAATGACAGTCCTATAATCTTTTTGTTGTTTGGATACGTCGTTGGTCTTGAGGTTGTTTGGTAATGTGGTAAGACGGAGATAACGCTGGCACTAGCCCCTCAACCACGTGAGGGGTAACTCCCTTCACCTTTCAACACTGCCTCTTTCCCTGGACTTGTAATCCCCACAGATGAAACGTGCTGCTTGCCTCTGGATCCGTTCCAGTTTTAAGATGTCTAATTTTAAGTAGGGGGCCCATTGATCGTACAATATTCCAGTGTAGACAGGACAAGTGGTACATAAGCATTTTCCTCGCATGTTCTTGAGCTGTGTCGTAAGTTCTGACGTAGGAAACCCAGTGTAGAACTCACTTTGCTACAGATATTGTTTATATGGGAATTCAATTTCAGGTCATCCGAGATCAAAAGACCGAGATATGGAAATGTGAAGATTTGCTGCATTACATATTTTAACATGAAATTACATGCATCAAATATGGGCCAACTCTTAAAACTTCTGGAGAAGATTGATTTGATGACACGGTTTTGTAGGTAACCATCCACGAATAGTCGTATTTGTGATTTAACAGAATCCGGTAAGTCGTTGATGTGGACAAGAAATAACAAGGGCCGAGGTCCGTGCCCTGAGGGACCCCGGATATAACAGTGGTCTCTTTTTATCCCATACTTTTCCAGTTTTAGTAGGTGTTTGCAGACAATATGTTCCAGGAGCTTGGAAACAACAGATGTAAGCGATACTGGCCTATAGTTTTCAGGGAGATGTCTAGTATCTCCTTTTTTTTCAAATACGGGGGTGATGTTTGCATTGAGCCAGTCAGATGGTTTCTATCGTCTGCTAGTTGTATAGTATCGCAGGTAATATGAACTGAATGGTATTAATGATCGACCAGTTACGGAAAATAAGCTTAAAGTGATTTCTGATATAACCATGTATTCCATGTTCTCGATAGCAACCCTCAGGGCATCGTATTGACAAATTGAGTATTTACGCAGCCGTTTGCTTAAAACGGCGTTTACTTTTTTTTTTTATCAAAAACGTTTAAAATCATGAATAAGAATAGTTCTTTATTTTTGTCATTTTGGACAACCCCTTATGAAACGCATAACTGAGTTTTCGCAACGATCCGAGTTGATGCTAGATTGAGTGGTTTTATGTCTGCTACCAGTTGTTCGGTTATCAAGCAGACGATATCCGAGTTAGATAACCAAACTATCTTATTTAACATCCATCAACGTCTAAATATCGATTAAAAGTTTATTTTTTGTGTGTTTGGTTTACCGCTTAAGTAAACATGTGCATTAAAAAACGACTACTGTTTCAGAAGGAGTTGCATTCACAAAAATGTCCGACAGACAGATTGAGTAAACAGACTGTAAATAGTCCCTCCGTCAGGGGATTAATAACATGGTCCACACAGGCCATGAAATATGGTCAGATTGAGGTAGGTGCTTGAAAAGAACTAAAAATATGGTTATCCTGGAAAAGTTCAGGAATTTGCACATACTCCTTGATAAGTGCTTGAATTTGCTCAATATTCCTTCAAAAGTTGGAATATATATTGAGGACAAATAACATGCATCTTTCCCATGCAGGTCAAATGTTTCAAAGTTTGGTGTTGATATGAGTTGATTATAGTTTGTATACTGTGTAAATCTGATTGGAGTCTTTTACATATAAACAAAGTCATGGCATAACTCACTGAATCTGGACGTATTTAAATAGGACTTGGGGAACAAAAACCAAGAGATAATTGATTTAATGTTATTTATTGATGGTTAGCCAATTGACTAGATACATAATTTATATACCATACAATCTACACAGTTCAGCAGCATGCAGCCTGGTCTACATAAAAAAATTGATTACAAAACAAAAATATTAATTATGCTTAATATTAATAGTTAATGTATAAAAATAAAAAGGACAGATTCTCACTCACACATTCATATTATTATTTTTAATTTCTGGAGACGTTGAAAGTAGCCTCCCTTAGAAAACTTTTTCCCCAGCTTATTGCAATTTTTTCAAGGCAGCAAAACATTTCATGGTAGTATTGAATTCAAGATAAAATACCATTTCTTAATATTACTTCAGTTTCCTAAATACTAAACAAGTCTGAAACAGACATTTTCCCCCCATACTGTTAATGAATACATACCACTGAATAGGAAACTATTTTTGTAGATTTATCCTGCATGCTTCTACTTCCTGCTCAACATTAAATGCCAGAAGTCAAATTGTGATAAAAAACATAATTGCACATGGATTGCTGTAGATTGCAGGTTGAATTGTAAAATGAATTCCACATAGCAAGTTGTTTTACTCAACAACCTTAAAAACAATATTAAGCTCAAAGTCTATTTCAGTATAAAAAAAACACCAAGATGAATTCTGTTTTATGAAACCATCACACAAACTACCAATGACGAAAAAAATCTGACAACATTTACATGCACCTCTACATACATCAATGATTATGAGCCTAAGGTTTATTTAGTATTACTCACTGTAGGCATTAGGGTATAAGCGGGGTTAACAATGGTTATGGACTAATGCATCATAAAATACCTAACAGATACCTTATGACAAGGATGTCCCCGAAAACGAAAAAAAAAGTTCACTTTGTTATGAATGACACAACCTGGGACTTCAATAATGGTCCTTATTCTACATAATATGAGCATCTTTTCACAAATATGCTTCCCTACAACTTTAAAGTTTTAAGCGTGAAGCAACTTACTCCTATCCTGGACCCTCACTAAAGAGTACTTGACACCAGTATTTTTTCCCTGTGGTACTGTATAATGCTTTGACTTTTTTATCTTTAAAAAATAGTCAATTAAAAGCCCCACAAACCATAATTCTTTAAGTAATGGACACATTAATAATGCGAACACAGCATGTCCCAAAGACAAATTGTAGTAAAATATACAAAAGGGATCGAAGGATTTCAACTAAATGCATAGATTTTAAAATCATTTCCACACTAACTAGTACATGTATTCATATGAAGGAAAATCATAAATAAGACAATTTTTGGCAGTGATTCAGTTTTACTGACCGAGATTTGTAAAGAATGGCGAGAAATGGAGAATAACAGGCAAAAGCCATCACCTGAGATAAAAATTAAACTTTTTAAAATCTGAACGGTTTACTTTCCCTAGCATGAATACAAAATATAATCCCAGGTAAGCTATCATTCAGATCTTTATTTTTTCACTTTTGATTTGTTTAAATTTGATTAATTTAACTTATTCACCCCTGAAATTTTATAATGAACTAATCTAACTTTTGTTTTGGAAGAGTTCAAATGTGTCTTTAGGGGTAAATGAGTTAATAATCTTCATAAATGATTCAAATTTCCAGGGAAAATAATGATTTTTTTTTTATATACATGTATATAAAAAAAAAAGGAAAAAAAATATCCTGAAAGGTTTCACTTCAGGAATTGCAGAGTATTACTGTACATAGATACATAGATACAATTTTACCTGTGATATACTTGGCCTAAATGTTACATCTTACAAAAGCACAGATATTAATCACCAATTTGGACCCATAGTTAGAGAAATGGCGATGTTCTAATGATTGTCATTCGGTCAAATTTGGGCAACATTTGGTTTTCAAAAACAGTGACAGTGACAGTTGACAATAACTACCATTTTTATCTTAAACCTGTAGCAACGAAACCACCTTAAACAAACTGTTCAGATTATTTATTATTTATACACAACTAAATATTCCTTTTCTTGTGAGAAGTCACTGTGTTACAACAGTTATGTCCCCTGTTGACTGTTATCAGGACAGTAAAATCACATTTGCATTTCTAGAAAACTCTCTTTCATAAACTGGCTTGATTGTTATGTTGACAAGATGTTTCAAGGCGTTACCAAGCTATTAAGCTATAATTATTGCAATGTATGGAACACAGATGTTGGCAAACAGTCTCTTCTGTAACATATGTGAATCAATCTTCAAACAATTCTATGTTCTATTCTTCTGTTCTCTCTTCGTGACCAGTAAGGCACGTTTACTTCTTTTTCTTTCCCAGAGTGGATTGTTGTTGCTGGACTTGAAGTTTGCGCTGTTGGTATTGGTTGAATTCGTCGTCCAGTCTTTTCTTACTATCTTCAATCTTTTTCTTCTCTTCTGTATGTTGTTTCTTTAAGGTATCAAACCTCTGATGGAGCTACAACAGAGAAGAATACCCGTACTTTTAGGAGATTCATTTATGACAGTATAACTACAGCTGCTAATTGCAGTATATGAATACATAGCCTGATCACTACTGCTACAACTGTGTAACTACGCACTCAGAAAATAGTTTGTAGAAACATGATTTAAAACATTCCACTGCACTTTAATCGACACTAATTTATATGATTATTCTATTCCTTTCAATTATCATATCTTTTCTTCAAATTAAAAACAAATGAACCAGAGATGATCTCTGGTTCATTTGTTTTAAATCAGATGATATCTTCGGTTCATATTGAGATTTGTGCAGGAAGCTATGTGTGACATCAAATGTTTCTCAGTTGCTGTTCTAGTTATTGACCTTGCCACGCTGATAATAACAGGAAGTTTTGAATTATATCGAAAAGCATCAATCCTAATTATATACTTATATAAAAAAAATAGTTATAAGCAATAAACTGCATAGATATGGTGTACCATTCAGTTTGTCTGCGACACATGTTGAAGTTATACCAGTAGGTCTGCACATGTATGCATTCAATTGCTGAAATAATTCTGTGCCATATGGATCATTTCAACCCCATAAATGAAAGTGATCTAGGTTTTATTGTCGCAATGGTGTCACATAAAGGACTTTTAAAAAAAAGATTGTTAAAGGGGAAATGAGGGAGTCGATGGGATTTCTCTATATTGTACTGTGATTACTTAATCATAATCCATTTGAACCAAGATCTCCATACATTCAGGCATAAATGACACCTTACAAAACAAATATGGATGCAATTAATGCTATTCTTTTTTCAAACACGTACGTTCTTATTTTGAGATAGAATGTTGTTTCAACTCTAGTTTATTAAGAACAACTCAAAGCCATACAATCCTCATCACAAAATATAAAAGTAAATTATACTGACTTTCATAAAAAAAACCATAATCTTACATCTTTTTCTGCCTCCTTGAGTTCACTTTCTTTCTCTTTGACCCGGATAACAAAAGTCTGCTTCATTTCCTCCTCTTTCTTCTGCAGATCTGACTCATGCTGATGTCTCTTCAGCTCATATGTCTCCGATAAACTGTAAACAATTCAATGGTTGTTATCTCTGACAAACTGTTAATGAGTCAATGTTTCTTATCTCCGACAAACTGTAAATGAGTCAATGTTTCTTATTGTCGACAAAATGAAAATGAATCAATGTTTCTTATCGTCGACAAACTGTAAACAAGTCAATGTTTCTTATTGTCGACAAAATGTAAATGAGTTGATGTTTGATATCTCTGATAAACTTTAAATGAGTTGATGTTTCTTATCTTTAAAAAATGTAAAAGAGTAAATGTTTTATATCTCTAACAAAATTGTAAATGGATCAATGGTTCCTATCTTTGACAAACTGTACATGAGTCAGTGATTTATATCTCTGACAAACTGTATACTCTTATACAAGAATATAGAACCGACCTTTTGGAGTCATTGTTGGAGAAGCCCATCTCCTGAAGCTTGTTCCTACGGTAAAGCTCAAAGTGTCGCTTGTGAGTGGTCTCCCTCATGTCCTCCATGTTTGTTCGGATCAACATCTCACGAAGCTTGACAAAGTCACAATGGTTCTCATTCTCAACTAGCAATGCAAAAAATAGAACCAGTTAAAAGAAATATTTGACAACAATGTTAATATGATTAAATCAAAAGACAATATACAAATTCTAACACACTAATGTGACTTAATTCTTTACCTAGCACTCAATTCCCCCTTGACCTTGACCTACCTTTGATTGTGCCCCTAAGGTATAATACATTTGACTTCTTTGAATAATGCTCAACAGCTTATGACTTTAATCTACCTATGGCTGTGCCAAAAGGAAATAGGACTTTAATTTCTCTGAATGATGCCTCACATGTACTATGCCCTTGATTTCTCTGAATGATGCCCCACTTGTACTATGCCCTTGATTTCTCTGAATGATGCCCCACATGTACTGTGACCTTGATTTCTCTGAATGATGCCTCACATGTACTATGCCCTTGATTTCTCTGAATGATGCCCCACATGTACTATGACCTTGATCTATTTTTGACTGCATCACAGGTACTTTAACTTTTACCTACATTTAACTGTGACTCACAGGTACTATAACCTTGACTTCCCTGAATAGTGCCTAACAGGTACTATGACCTTGACCTACCTTTAACTGGCCCCACAGTTACTATGACCTTGACTTCACTGAATGGTTCCTCACATGTACTATGATTTTGACCTACATTTAACCGTGATTCACCGTTTCTTTGACCTTGACCTATCGTTAACTGATCCTAACCTTTACTTCTCTGAATGGTGTCTCACATATTCTATGACCTTGACCTACCTTGGACTGTCTCACAAAATACTTTGACCTCGACTCCTCAAGAAAATGACCTCACTTGAACAGTGCCTCAGAAGTAATATGAACTTAACCTAACATGGACTGTGCTTTACAGGTATTATGACCTTGACCTACCTTGGACGGTGCCCCATGGATACTGTCTGGCCTTCACCATCTTGTTTCCCAGTTTGACCTCATCACTGCTGCCTACGACTGCAAATGGAAGGTGGCCCTGGAACATGTATATGTATACCATATTATAATATAGTGAAACAAAGAGCCTGGAACATGTATACATGAATTATATAAAAGTGAAACAAAAATTCCTGGAACAAGTTTGACATATATGTTCATAAAATATTAAAATCTTATCTAGTAAACTAGACGACAGGGAAGGGAGTCTTGAAAATCGTGTATCTTGTCCAGAATGCTACACAACAGGGGGAAAGGGTGGGGGATCTTCTCCAGTATACGAAACTAAGGTAGGGAAAGCATTAGCCATGGTGAAAACACATTTCTTGAATTATTCCTCTCTTGTGAAATTAAGCTTGGACTCAAATAGTATAGAAAAGTTCCTATACAAAGAGGTGGTTCTTACATTCATTGTTTTGTTGGTTTCTGCGACTGTCTCGTCGTCGGTGGGAAACTGGTAGATCTGGACACCATTGGTCATCAGCTCAGACATAATCTGTGTGGAAAACATTAATGTTTCATCAAATACTACACTGATAATGTTGAGTAAATCCTGTCTAATCAGACACCTGAGTATTCTGATATCCTCTCCAGTCTGACAAATATGTTGTGTGTTACAGGGTGTCAAGATTAGACAGGTTTCAGTGTCTAGTCAAACTGTACTATATTTCGTAGTACACATTGTAGTCTTAATTTGATTTGTCTGTGTTAACATCCACAGAAAAGACATCTTCAACAGGTTCAAAATTGACTTAAACAATCAAGAAACCAGAAACAAAGATTTTTCAAGTTCGATATATTTTTCACTTTTGATGGACTAAAAAGAAGCAAGCAGAAGGTCTTAATATGGACAGAAATTGAAGTTAACAGAGAAATCCTTGTGTGGCTGGCCAGGTCTATTCATGTCCGACTAGGAAATTGAATCCTAGCTGTCTTTCTGAAAGGCGAGTCTGCTATTCACTTTGCCACTGGACCATCCATCACAATTGATATGTACATATTGTGAACTGTTTAAGTTTTTGGTACACTTGTATATGAATAATATTTAGGTGGTAGGGTCTAAACTAATGGTTATCACTTGTATAGTGGGACCAAGGAAAAACAAGCATACTGAGTATTGCTGAAGCAATACATGTCCCCTACCGGCCCCTGCAATCTATTAAGATGCAACAGTGACCTCAACCTAGATCCAAGGACCTTGAAACTTGAACTTGTCCAATATATTGAAATTTTTTACAATAATGTGAAGTTTGACTAAAATCCATGAAAGAATGAGGCACTAGAGTGCTGACAAAGATTTTCTAAAATAGTAATAGTGACCTTGTCTTGCCCCGATTACCTTGAAATTGTCCAAGATATTTAAATTCTTTACAATAATGTGAAGTTTGATTAAAAACTAGGAAAGAATGAAGGCGCAAGAGTGCTGACAAACTTCTTCGGACAGACAGCGAGGAAAACTTTAGGTATTCTTGTTTTCTTCTCCCTCCCTGCCA